TCCCAGCCCTGGGCCCCTTTGGACGCCCAGCACACCCCGTGCCCGACCGCAGGGCCTCGTCAGCATGGAGGCCCGGTGCCCAGGCTGCGGGCCGATGGAGGAGGGGGCGGGGCGGGGGGCCGGCCAGGGGGCGCCATGGCGGCTGCGGGCTTCAGCCAAGTGCCGGGCCCTGCAGGTCCGTGGGATCCCCTTCCACAGGCCAGGGAGAAGCTCGGTGGAGATCCTCGCCCACCTCCGGCCGGATCTCAGGGACCGTTCTTGCTGCCGGGCCACACCCACCGCAATGGAGAAAATCAGAGGTTGCCTTAGACAACTTTCTGGGTCTGTGGAGTTGTCTACTGAGGCCTCGATTTCATTTCAGGGCATCTTTCTGCCTCTCTGTGAGGAGGTTTAGATACTCTTTCCTTGAAAACAAAACAAAACAAAACAAAACAAAACAAAATCAGACATCGTTCCAAGAGCAAATCTATTCCTGGACAAATGCCAATGACATTTTAAAGATTGTGCTTTACATTGTGATGCTTCTTGCTCATTGTCCAGATTATCATGTGAAATTGTGTTTATAATTATTATCCAGTTTAACTCTGTTTCTCAAATGGGAACAATTGTAAAATGCAAAAAAAAAAAAAAAAAAAAAAAAAAGATTGTGCTTTACCAGAAAGAGTAGGAAAAAACCTGCTGAGAAAGAATGACATCAGTAATCATGGAAGTAGCCTTGGCTGGTTTGATCAGTGGTTAGAACATGGCCCACAGACAAAGGTTCGTAGGTTTGATTCCTGGTCAGGGGCATGTATCTCGATTGCAGGTTCCCCAGCCCCATCCCCTGAAGGAGCATGCGCAGGAGGCAACCAATCGATGTATCTCTCTAATGTCAATATTTCTCTCCTCCGGGGCTAATCCTGGTTCCACAGTGAGTTATGTGACCTTGTGGAAGTTAACTTCTTTGGTGAAGCACTTTCCTCTTGTCTCCTCTAACACAGAGGGCATGCCCTAGCTGGTTTGGCTCAGTGGGCAGAGGGTTGGCCTGCAGACTGAAGGGTATAGGGTTCAGTTCTGGTCAAGGGCACATGTCCTGGTTGCGGGCTCAATCCCCAGTAGGAGGGCTTGCAGGAAGCAGCTGATGAATGATTCTCATCATTGATGTTTCTATCTCTCCTCCCTTCCTCTCTAAAATTAATAAAAATATATTAAAAAGAAATAAAACAAAGGGCACTATATAGACAACCATAGCTCTCTGGTTGGAAATACAGACTTTCAAAGAGTCTGAATCTACTTCGCAAAGGCAGGCAGACCTCTGAAGTTAGCCATGGGACTTTTTTTTTTTTTTTTAAATCCTCACTCGATATGCTTTTATTGATTTTTAGAGAGAGAGGAAAGGAGAGAAAGAGAGAGAGAGAGACATTGATGTAAGAGAGAAATATCCATCAGTTACCCCACATACACCCCAATTGGGGATCAAACCTTTTGGTGCATGGGACAGTGTGCCAAACAGCTGAGCCTCCAGGACACGGCTTCACCATGGACGTTTGAAGGTGTAAGGAGAAGTTGGTCATCTGTCCTCAATCTCAGTTCTAAAGCTTGGGTGTTGGATTCATAGTATTGGTGTGATTTCCCTATTTTGTTGCCCATATTGGTGGTCACAGAGCCTGTCCTGTTTTCCTCAGTGAATGTATTTTGGACAAATGCCTATGGAAGTTCTTTATTCAACACTGGAAGATTGTTCCATCGAATAACACCAGAAACATTTGGTGACAATACTTCCTATTATCATCTCCTTCCACCTCAATAGACAACATAATTATCCTCATATTGGGTTCTGTGCACTGACCCAGATTTTTCTTTATGTGAAATGGATTACTAAAACCTTGAAAAATCTTTATGACATTAGTGCCAATGTGTCATTTAAGACTATTGGGTATTTTCAAGGTAAGATTTTTTTTTATTGGGATTTGTCAGATCTTGCACTGAGATGAAAGCTAACCAGTTTTCCTCTCTTGAATTTGCTTTTCAAGTGAAGCATTAGTGGAGAAGCTAATGTTTCCATAGTATTCTAGAGTTTATGAGTTTATCTCATTCAGTGCTCACAACAATGGTAGGAATAGGTGGGTCCCCATCTGTAGATGTGGAAACAGAAGAGATTGAATGAGTGGTTTAATAACTAGTAAGAAGCAGAGCTAGGACTCAAGCCTTGGTCTTCCAATTCCAAATCTTGTGTCTTCCCCACTGTTCCATATTGCCTATAACTTTCCTTCTTTTGTCTTAAAGCCATCATGTTTTGTGATCACCTAAAGATGGGCTGAGAGTCTGTCCCTTCAACTACAAGATCCCATCAACTTAATAGTACAGGGACATACAGTTGCCATTCTTTCTTTTTTTAAAAACATATTTTATTGATTTTTTACAGAGAGGAAGAGAGAGGGATAGAGAGTTAGAAACATCAATGAGAGAGAATCATCGATCAGCTGCCTCTTGCACACCTTCTACTTGGGATGTGCCTGCAATCAAGGTACATGCCCTTGACCGGAATCGAACCTGGGACCTTTCAGTCTGCAGGCAGATGCTCTATCCACTGAGCCAAACCCAAAACACCATCAAATCTAGCCTGGGTACCTGCTGTGTCTTGGGCATGGAAAATCAGCAAGATTTTTCTCAGGACATGAACAGTATTTCACCTTTGGTAACTTTGCAGTTGGCATCAACTATTTCTCTTTACTTTTGACTGCAATTCTAGTCTAAATAGTCTACTAGGCTCTGGCTCCAACCTCATTCTAATCCCCAGCAGCTGAGATCAGACACTGAGGTATGTCTTTACTGGCAGCCCCAGGCTTGAACTTTGGAAATTGTGGGAAATTCCATTCTTTGGGCACGTAGATTTTCTGGCTCCACCATGTAAGAGTTTTCCCTGCTGAGTAGACATGGTATCAGTACTATTGGAGTAAAGAATAATGAAAGTAGTCCTTTATGTGAGGTTAATACTAGTGTTTTAGTACTTATAAAATGATGTTATATTTATTTTTATTTTTCCTTTTGAATAACTCCAAAAAGCAGAGTGGAAAAGTGGTTAAGGTTATCAAGTCTGGTTTATACTGTCTCAGTTTGAGTTTCATTTCCAATATTCAAAGCTCTGAAGGTTACTTCATCTCTCAGGGTCTCAGTTTCCTCATCTATCAAATTTAGGCTACTTATCTCATAGGCTCATTGTGAGGATTGGGATAAGAGGGCATGAAAAAATTGGTAATTATTGTATAAATGAGAAAACCAAAGCCCAGAGAAACTAAGTAATGACATTGGAGCTGAGATTTAAACCTAAATTGTTTTTACTTTGTGACGGTTCTCTTTACCTCCTCTCTGCTTCCTCTGAAATCAATACCTTGCATTGTATAAAGATAGCCTCAAACTTCAAGAACAATGGACCTCTTACTCTCATTATTTTTAAAAATATTTTATTGATTTTTTACAGAGAGGAAGGGAGAGGGACAGAGAGCTAGAAACATCGATGAGAGAAAGATTGATCAGCTGCCTCCTGCACACACTCCCACTAGGGATGTGCCCACAACCAAGGCACGTGCCCTTTTGACTGGAATCAAACCCAGGACCCCTCAGTCCGCAGGCCGACACTCTATCCACTGAGCCAAACCGGTTTTGGCTCTCATTATTATTTCAACTTCCATATGAAAAGACAAAAAGTGCAGGGCTTATTATATCTATAAAGAAAAAAGAGGCACAGAAAAATCGTAGTGACTTAGAATCTTAGCTCTGAGCCCATACCAGTTGCCTCTTGGAGGAGAAGAGACATGCCATCCTTTCCTTCTCCTCTTTTCAGTTTCCCGTGGAGGACCGTGAGCGGGCAGAGATTCTGGGCTAGAAAGTAAGTCACGGAGTGCTCGGCGGATAGTGGGCCCTTGTGGCGCAGTGCAGTCTCACACGGAGCGAAGAGTGGGTGAGGCAGGAAGGTGAGGCGCTCAGCATCGCTGGGAGATGTCAGTGTACATCCTTCTGCTGCACTGGCTGCGGCCGGGAGGTGTGCTCCTCTCCTGACTGCATGTAAAATTAATAGCAGAGGTCTTCCTACTTTTGCTACTTACTGGTATATCCTTTAGATTATTTCGCTTGAGCCCTGTTCACATCGGCCTAGAGCTGTGGTAGGCAAACTGCGGCTTGCGAGCCACATGCGGCTCTTTGGCCCCTTGAGTGTGGCTCTTCCACAAAATACCACGGCCTGGGCGAGTCTATTTTGAAGAAGTGGCGTTAGGAGAAGTTAAGTTTTAAAAATGTGGCTCTCACCGAAACTGGTTTGGCTCAGCGGTAGAGCGTCGGTCTACGGATTGAAAGGTCCCAGGTTCGATTCCGGTCAAGGGCATGTACCTTGGTTGCGGGCACATCCCCAGTAGGGGGTGTGCAAGAGGCAGCTGATCGATGTTTCTCTCTCATTGATGTTTCTAGCTCTCTATCTCTCTCCCTTCTTCTCTGTAAAATATCAATAAAATATATTTAAAAAAAACAAACAAACACATTAAAAAATAAAAAATAAAATAAAATGTGGCTCTCAAAAGAAATTTCAATAGTTGTACTGTTGATATTTGGCTCTGTTGACTAATGAGTTTGCCGACCACTGGCCTAGAGAAAGTGAGGACAAGGGCAGAGAATAGATTAAAAAAATATTTGGAGATAGATACTTAATCCTAACAAAAACCCTCTGAGACATCAGATGTTAGAATTAGTCTCAAGGAAGAATGCACAAAGTTGTAAGGTAAACGTGAAAACTTGTTCAGGACTTTTGACTTTAAGTATAGAGATCATCCCAAAACACCATGTACCCTCCGCATGCAGCTAGGATAATGGTCTAGGGGTGATGAATATCAGAACTGAGCCTGGGACATAGGCAGTGGTGCTGAGTATTGAACATTTTACTTATAAAGAATGCTACAGATTGGGCAAGAGAGTCTTTCCTATCTTTAGTTTTTAATAATTCTCTTAACATTTCTACTTTATTTAGGCTATTGTGTGGAAGCAATGAGTTTAAAACCCTTCACCTACCCGTTTCCAGAGACAAGATTTCTTCATTCAGGAACAAGTGTGTATAAATTCAAAATCAGATATGGTGACAGCATCAGGTAAATTTAAAGCTAGGAGGGGGAGCTTTGTAAGCCGGTTAATGCATTTTCTCATAGATGATCCCTTCTTTGCCTTCACCCAGTCCGGGAGACTGGCTGAAGAAGCACGTTGTGGGTCTTTCCCAGGTATTTTATGTTCCATATGTCATTACTCATATAATTTCCTAAATTGGTGATGGCATACCTTTGGGGCAGTGGTTCTCAAATTTTTCTCAGGACCCCTTTGCACTCTTAAAATTATTGAGTATCTCAAAGTTTTTGATTATGTGGATTATAACTGTCAAAACTTATATGAAAATTAAAACAAAATTAACATAGTAATTTTAAAATATATATCTTTAAAATGTTTTAATTGACTTAGAGATGAATGGAAGGGGGGAGAGAGAGAAAGAGGGACATTGACTCACTGTTCTACATATTTGTGTATTCATTGTTTGCTTTTTCTGTGTGCCCTGACTGGCATTGAACTCGCAACCTTGGCGTATGCAGACAATGCTCTAATCAACTGAGCTACCTGGCCATGGCCTTACGTCCTTAAATGTTGACAAATAACATTTTATTTAAAATACCTCTTTTTAAAAAATATATTTTTTTATTGATTTCAGAGAGGAAGTGAGAGGGACAGATAGAAACATCATTGATGAGAGGGGAATCATTGGTCTGCTGCCTCCTGCATGCCCCCTACTGGAGATTGAGTCTGAAATCCTGGGCAAGTGTCCAGATCAGGAATCAAACAGTGATGCTCAACCACTGAGCCATACCAGCCAGGCTAAAATAACCGTATCTTTAAAAAAAATTAATAAGAGCCCTAGCTGGTTTGGCTCAGTAGATAGAGCGTCAGCCTGCAAACTAAAGGGTCCTAGGTTTGATTCTGGTCAAAGGCTCATGCCTGGTTTGTGAGCTCAGTTCAACATGAAGGAGGTAGCCAATCAATGATCCCTCTCATCATTGATGTTTCTATATTTCTATATCCCTCTCCTTTCCTCTCTGAAATCAATAAAAATATTTTTTAAAAATTGTGAGAAGGCTGGCGTTGTTTATATTCCCGGGATTTGCTCCGGTATACAAGGATGGTACAACATACAAAACCCATCACTGTAACACACCACAGTCAGCTGCCCTCCCAGGAGCATGCCATGTCTGTCTTCTCTCTCGGGCGTGCATTTTCTAAACTCTGCGAGTCCCCACAAGTCTTGCAACTGGGGAAGCAATGGGCAATGGCTGCTCATCAAGGGCTAATCCCCCCTTATTTATTTTTATTTTATTTTATTTTTAATATATTTTATTGATTTTTTTACAGAGAGGAAAGGAGAGAGATTTTATTGCTTCCTCAAGAATATTAAATGAAACTAGATTTTTTTTCTTTCTTTCTGTGTGGCAGTAATGATGACTACAACTGGTAGTATGGTTAGACGGCCCCCTAATTTTTCAGTTAAAACATAGGTGTAGGCCTACATTCGCTGTATAAGACTACCCCCCTCTTCAAAGAAAAGACTTACTTTGCCGTCAAGATTTGCAGGTAATTTTTGTGCAATTTTGGTCTTTTGCCCCCGATTTTCGGTTGACTTTTTTTCGTTTCAAACGTCGTCTTATATGCCGGAAAATACGGTAAGTGTAATTGGCTTGATTTAAGCTAAGACACCAGCAATTTTGCTCACCATTGTTTTTGCACTAAAGATTACAAATCAAATGTTAGCACAGTGACAAAGGCAAGTAAACTGTAATATTATTATGAAAATGATGTTTGCCTTTTGAGACCCCTTGAAAGGAAGGGTCTTGAGAACCCCCAGGTGTCATCTGCCCATACGAGTACCAATGGTCTAACAGATTACCGTATTTTTCGTACCATAAGAAGCTCCGGACCATAAGACGCACCAGTTTTTAGAGAAGGGAAATGAAGAAAAAAAGATTCTGAAACAAATAGTGTCCTAAAATATTTTATGTGCATTAAAACCCAACATCACAGTCATAACACATGTAATCAACCCTGTAAAGTAAACAGCAGCATTTAGAACCATTTTAGAGCCGGGCAAGCACACAGAGACCACACAGAGCCGGGCAAGTAAAAAAACTTTTTTTTTAAAGTATATGTGTAGGCTATATTTGGACCATAAGACGCAGGGACTTTTTCCCCCCACTTCTGGGGGGGAAAAAAGTGCGTCTTATGGTCCGAAAAATACGGTAGTAACTTTCATATGAGAATTTCAGGTCTTGGCAGTTAGTGGAGAAGATAGATAGCCTTGTACTGATTCTCAGACCACACCTCCTAGGTGATCACTTCCTCCCATGAGCTCTGGGTCAGCCCGTGCAATTGTGATTTAGTCACTAGAGGCCAGATGCATAAAATTCATGCCACAACAGGCCCCCCCCCCCCCCCCTCCCCCCCAGCCAGCACTGGTTTTCCTCTGGCACCCAGGACCCCGGCTTTCTTCATAGCCCCAGCTTCATCTGGAAGGTCATCCTTTCTGGTCTAATTAGCATATTATGATTTTATTGTTATAGCTGTTTCTTAAGCTCAGTGGCAGTGTCATTTTTGCTCTACTATCTATTGTCTCAGAGCTTTCCCTGGCTGATCTTTTGTTTGCTTGCTTTCTAGAGGGGAAGATGTAGAAAATAAGGAAGTCATCATCCAGGAGCTGGAGGTAGGGAAAGAGGCTGACAACTTCGGGAAAGTTGTGCTTTAAGCCGAAAATGTGTCCATGTCCAAATTTTAATTATTTCTCACCAACTGAGTCACAACCTCCGCTCCATTACTTGGCTTCTCCCTGCTACATTTCCTCTGCAAACAAATTGTACTGTTTTTCCAGGGTCAGTAAAGCCCGTATTCTCTCTCAGTTTTCCTGGTTGAAGTGTCAGCACCTTTGAGGCTGGGAGTTTTGTTTCTACCAGAGTTCCCGGCCACGGGCAGCTTTCCTCTGTGGCAGCTGGCACAGAGGAAGCTTCCGGAGAAATGAAGGGCCGCCGCCTCACAGGGCTCTGGGAAACCTCACATCCCAACCACCGCCTGGTACTTGACGTCCAGGAAGTTCCATTGTAAATACAGAGACAGGCTGCTGTGTCTTCATTTTAATTGGAAACATTTTCCATTGCTTTATTCCCATCTCATTTTCATTCCTTTTCTACTCAGCTCCTCTAGATTTAGATTTTCCCACAGGAAAGAGACTGAACAGGTGGACATTTTTGTAAATTGGTAAAAGCACTGGGCAAGGGGTTAGAGTTCTGGGAACTGGTTCTGGATTCCAGTCCTGGCTGAGCCACTAATTAGCGGTGTGACCCTCAGCAAATCATTTCTCTCTCTGGGTCTTGATTGCCTCATTGATAAACTAAGAGTTTTAAAGTAGTTTATTCTCTCCTAACTTCCCAACTCAGTGATTTATGACTATTGTGGTTTTGAAGACATGTGCTGTCACATTTCAAAGAATTCAAATAGAATTAAATACATAAACATGATAATCGATGAAACAAAAAATTTGAGTCATAGCCTTAAAGATACTTGGGGCTCTTCAGCTAAGTGTTGGAAGATACATTAGGATCTTGCAGGACCTTAGAGAAATTGTTATAAATAGCAATATAGGACAATGACAGTTTTTTGCTTATTTTAATAGTGAGTAGAGCAGGATTTATCGATATTTCACTTTGCTTCAGTTAGCGGGGCAGAGAAGAGCTCAAGGGAGCACAGTGAAGTGGGGAGAGCATAGATTTTAGAGCCATTCAAACCGGATTTGATTCCAGTTCTGCCTCACAGCCTGATTGTGGGCAAGCGACCTACCTTCTGTGAATGTTCCCTTGTCAGCGAGGACTGCTTGTTTCCAAGATTATGGCGAGGATTAGAGATAGATGTGTGCGGTGCCTGCCACATAGTGCTCAATAGTATAAATGCTAGAGAGCATTTATATATATTTATAATCATATTAAAGTTTCCAAAGTGTTTTTTATATGTTCTCTTTTGCTCTCATTTGTTTTGAGGCAGATTTTATCATTCTCTCATTCATTTAGGAAATAATTTATTAATAGACAGCATAGCCTAATTGTTAAAGAGTGTAACAATTAGGAATCCCACTGCCTGTATTCATATCTTGGCTTCACCATTACTAGCTATGTAACCTTGAATAAGTCATTTTACCTCTTTTTGTCTGTTTCCTCGTCTATAAAATGGGGATGATAGAAATGTCTATCTCATAGAGTTTTTGAGTATTAAATTAATTAACAGCATGTCATTTTCCAGGATTCTATTCGTGTGGTCTTGGGAAATTTGGACAGTCTGCAGCCATTTGCTACAGAACACTTTGTTGTATTTCCCTGTATCCTTTCATTTCTGGATGGGAAGGAGCTACAATCACATTGTAGATTCAAATGGAAGCAATAAACCCATAGACAGTCTAGGAGGTTGGTCAGGGAAGGGAGAAAATGTCATCACTAAAATAGTCCTTGGATTCGTAGTGACTGCTTTCCTCACTCCTTAACACCGTTTTCCAGATAAAAGCAAATGGGAGAGAGTGTCCCACTTGAAATTCAAAAACGGCGACATCGTGTTGATCCCCTATCCATTTGTTTTGACACTGTATGTGGAGCTGAAGTGGTTTAATGAGAACCTGTCATCTGGTAAGTAGAGTGATGGCAGAGTGGGTAGTGGAAAAGAGAAAGGGGAAGGCTGAACTTGCATGGTTAGTAGTGTCAGCTGGAATGGGAAATGGTCAGTCAGCCTGGGCTCCAGTACCACCCAGTGGAGAGGTCAGGAGCATGTGCTCCAACCCAGAATGCCTACTTCAAATCCTGGTGGCCTTCCACTTAATCTGAGTGACCTTCAACAAATTTCTTTCTTTTTTTAATACTCACCCAAGGATATGTGTTTTTAAAATTAATTTTTAGATAAGTTTCTTAATATTTCTGTGCCCTTTTTTGTGCCTTTTTTGTGAAATTGTTAATAATAATAGTACTTATTGAGTTGTTAAAACCATAAAATATATGAATATTGGAGGTTGGAAAGGAAGTATACAGTCTAATCACTCAATGAAAGAGCCTATTTATGAAGACTTTCTTCCATTTTAGAGGTTTCAGTAACTTTCACCTTAGTAGTATCTTAAAGTAGTATCTCCTAATTTTTAATCTGAGTCATTGCTATTTTTACTTATAACGGGGCAAGTAGACACCTGCAAGTTTGATTAGGAAAAGAGAGCAAAGGCTTTACCTCAAAATATCTCCCCAATTAATTTGTCACTGATGTCTGAAGGTCCACCTTTTGTTTCATAGTAAGGCCCCCCCCTTTTTTGGGGGGAGCCCCCTTTATAAGTGGCATATCATTAGAATACAGTGTGAATCAAACTCTGGATTTTCAGCTTGTAGATGATAAAATTCTAAAATAGGGGAGGAAGAGATTTTTGAAGACTATATTTCTAGGTGGTACCAGACAGAAGGGGAAAGAGTATACACGGAGGTTTTGTCTAGGACCAGTTCTAGACAAAAGCAAATGGTAGCCAGAAATCCAGGTAAATCGATGTCTTAACCCATTATGATATTTAAATTTCCTGTTATAGGGAGACCAGTCGATGACGGTTCCCTTGGATTGGTAAGTTTGCCTTCGTATAGGAAGTGAAAACTGCCTTTATTAGTTCATGTTGTTGAAAATCCCAAAAATCCTGCTTTAGCGCAGCCAGTGTGGCTCAATGGTTGAGCATCAACCTATGAACCAGAGATCATGGTTTCATTCCTGGTCACATGCCTGGGTAGTGGGCTTTGTTCCCAATGGGGTCGTGCAGGAGGCAGCTGATCAGTGATTTTCTCATCATTAATGTTTCTATCTTTCTCCCTATCACTTGTTCTCTGAAATCAATAAAATAATATTTTTTAAATTGGTTCTTGGGGCAAAAAATTAAAATAAATCCTGCTCTAGTCCCTTTCTATTTTCCCTTGTTGCTGCCCAGGTCCAATCAGAACTGGATGCATGAGACCATCTTTTCCCCTGTGGCTAACTGTCTAAGATTGTCCCTAACAGAATGTCTACCCTTACTTGCAAAGTTGACAAAGTTGCTTTTGCAACTTAAAGATGGGGAGTTCATTGTGCCCTCATGAACTGTGAGCAGCTCTGAGAAAGGAGGAATCACAGGCTTCTGGTTCCTCTCTGAAGGTCCTTGCCGAGAGGAAAGCAGCAAGAGCCATGAAGAAGAAACGAAAGCGCATGGAACTGTCCATCTCTCCCAGCAGGCCAGGGCCGGACAGGTCAGTGGTGAGGCCAGCTGCTCCTGCTGCTTGTTCTTGTCCTTAGGCGAGTCACTTCCTCTCTCAGACCTTCACTGGCATCTGCCTGTTCCAGTGGGTGGACTAAGACAGCGGTCGCCAACCAGTGGTCTGTGAGGTCTGAAAGGTTGGCGACTGCTGGACAGGAAAGGAAGTAAGTTAATATTGCAATGTAATTTGAACACAACCCTTCTTCAGCAAAGTAGGATTCTTCTGTTCATTAAGACCAAGGCTGAGAAGAAAAGCAGTCAGATCCATACAGTTGTGTCCAATACCTACAATGAGAACTTAATACCAGAAAACACAGTAAGAAGGCACAATTTTTAAGAGGTCCCAAGATATTATACAAGAACAAATAAAATGTAACTGTTTTACCTAGTGAGCAGTAAGCTTTTAGAAATGTAAAAGATAGTCCAGCCCTAGCCAGTTTGGCTCAATGGATAGAGCTTTGGCCTATGGACTGAAGGGTCCCAGGTTCAATTCCAGTCAAGGGCACATGTCTGGGTTGCGGGCTCAATCCACAGTGTGGGACATGCAGAAGGCAGCTTATCAATGAATTTATTGCATTATTGATGTTTCTATCTCTCTTCTCCCTCTCTGAAATATATACGTGTGTGTGTGTGTGTGTGTGTGTATTATTTATATATATATATATATATATATATATATATATATATATGTATATATTTTTTTTTTTTTTTTTTTTTTTTTTTTAAAGTCCAGTCTAGCCCGGCCAGCGTGGCACAATGGTTGAGTGTCAACCTGTGAACTAGGAGGTCACAGTTTGATTCCTCGTCAGAGTACATGCTCAGATAGTGGGCTCAATCCCCAGTAGGGGGTTGCAGGGGGCAACCGATCAGTGATTCTCATCATTGATTTTTATCTCTTCTACTCCCTTTCTGAAATCAACAAAAATACATTTAAAAAACCCACAGATTTGCTGAAACTGGTTTGGCTCAGTGGATAGAGCGTCGGTCTGCGGACTGAAAGGTCCCGGGTTTGATTCCGGTCAAGGGCATGTACCTTGGTTGAAGACACATCCTCAGTAGGGGGTGTGCAAGAGGCAGCTGATCGATGGTTCTCTCTCATCGATATTTCTTGCTCTCTATCCCTCTCTCTTCCTCTCTGTAAAAAAAATCAATAAAATATATATTTTTAAAAACAACCCACAGATTTTCAGAAAGTTTCTATTAAAAAAAGATAGTCCAATCTAAAATATAAGTGTCTATAAGAGGGTATCAGTTGTTGGGTGAGGTGCTGCGATATGTGATATTAGGTGGAATATTGAGCACATTGCTAACATGTTGAAGTTGCTATTGAGGAAGGCTAATTCTTTTTTTTAATTCTCTATCAGGGACAAAATGAGTCAGTAAAGCAATTCAGTCGTTTTTATTAGCACCCAGAGAGCTGCTGGGATAATCCTAGGTGTGGTTTGCTCCCCAGCTCAGAGTGCTTTCCTCCAGGTTCACAGAGCAGCTTCTCTTTTCCTGGGACTGTGGGCCCCAAGACTTCCAGGAACAGTGAAGGCGGACCACCAGGAGGTGACTTACCCCTCCCAGTGCACATGGCGGAGAGGAGCGGGCACTCCTTCCCCAGCCGGGTGGGGTGTGAGGTACTGGAGGTGTGGAGCTTCGTCTTCCCATTTGCCGGAATGTTCTGTGGAACTGAAGCTTCACATCTTCGCTTTCTCTGGGCTTTGATGCACGATCAGGTATTTCAAAGTCCGATACCTGCTGGCAGCCCGTTTTCCTTTTCTCAACCACTAGATCCCTAAATGGGGATTCTACTGTGAGTTAAAGCAGCACCCAAAGAGAAGTTGGCCACACAATTTATTCTGCAGGCCAAGAGCGGTATAAAAATAGCCAACCTGCTGAAATATTCATTTAGCCACGTTTGCCTGAGTGTGGTGATGTTGCTGCTGCCAGTAACATTTCCTGGGCTTTTCCCACCTCAGGGCCAAGATGAGGACTTCCAGCCAAGGTCCCAGCAGAAAGAAGCTCTTCCTGGACACCAGCAGGGTAAGCACTCCAATGGAGGCATCCTAGCTCTGTTACAGTCAAGTCCGGATTCCTGTTACCAGCACATCTCGGTCCTTAGTACAGACAGAATTGACCGAACTCACTCTGAGGTTTCGCCATCTGCGGAACAGCTTTCATCCATTCTGTACTTGCCACAGCTTGTCTCAGAGTGGCTGCATAACACTAACACGTCGGTGAATCCTTCTCTTCTCAGCTTAAAAAGCTGCTCCTTGTATTTGTAGTTGAAATAAGAAGAGGTCTGTTGAACTGAGGTAGGATCCGATATAGAATTTTCTCTTTAGAAATCGTTCTGCTTTCTTCTACATTAGAGCCTGAGTCTACAGACAAGCTAGGCATGTAAAACACAGGACACTAGTAAGAGAAAACTTAATTAGAGCAGTGATGGGTTGGCCCCAATATATTTAATTTCATTTGTGAGGTCTGTTCCCCACTTAGGTATTCATAATTCTGCTATGCCTCCATTTCAGGGCTTCTTTTCTATAATAGTCTCTAAAATAGTACCCTTTTTCTTTTCCTTTTATTTTAAAAATAGCTGTTATTTAATACCTTTTTCTTCTCTCTCTCCAAAGTAGCTCTGACCTTAAATATCCAAACACTTTTAACGCATCACCCTTATCTTCCCAGAACTCCATTATATGATCAGTTAATGAGCAAACATTTATTCATCCATTCAGCAAACTTTTAAGTAATCTATGTGCCAGGTACTAAGGATATCACAATCTCACCTAAAAATGCCAGCAGTGTAAGCTAGGCAGGCCATTACTGGTAGATAGGCTATGTGCAGGAATAAAGGCGGCACCACAGGATAACCTCACCCAGATTAGGTGGGTGTCAAGGAGGATTTCTGTAGCAGCTCAGAGTAGCTCAAAGAAGTAAGGCCAAGAGGAAAGAGGACAGTGCATTTGGTGACTCCGAGCCAGTGCCCGGAGCTTGGAGCAAGTGTGCTGGGAGCAGTCACTGGGGAGTCAGCACTGGCTGGAGCATGAAAGGCCTTAAGGCTGCCTTCCAGATGACAGGAATTCCCTGAAGCATGTTTAAGTAGAAAAGTAAAATGATTTTCATTCCTAATGATTCTTCTATCTTCTGTTTGCAAGGCATTGTGTGAGATGCAGAGGCACACCAAAACATGTAACATTTGGTTTCTTTTAGGAGTTTACCATGTAGTGGGAGGAAGGGTACCTTCTAGGACTCCGATGTCTACCTGTGGGCAGGTCTGGGCTACAGGGCCTCCTGTGCCATGCATGGCCAACTGGTCCCGCAGTGATTGTAGGTAGATGGTTAGAGGGTTGCTCTCTTCTATCCTCTCATCCTTTAGAGAGGGAAGAACTCAAAAAAGTACAACAGGAGACATGAAACTCTGGAGAACAAAGATGCTTTATACAACCAAGATAATTACTGTTTAAGGAACATTTTCTTCACTTTCTCCCTTCATACCTTCCTATTCTTAGCTTGACAAATCATCTCCTTTAGGAACAGTACTCACAGTTTCTTATTCAACATAATTACCTTTTCAACCTGATACTGAATTTAGAAAAAAAACTCTTGAGCAAGAAAGAAATTCAAAAGGAACATGTTTATTGATTTTGACTCAAAGCCCAAAGACAGTCTTCGTTGTAGACTCTGTTCTCAGGAAGAGGATTTCTCCTAAATTAACGTGATCACAGTGACGCTCAGTGTAAGTCACTTGAGCTGGAAAAAATTGAATTTGCTCCTATGGTCCAATGCTTAATATTTTCTCTCCTCCTTGGGGGGAAGTTAGGGTGTAAGATCAGTGTGGATTATACACGTCTGAACACATTGAGAGCCTGTGTGGGGAAAGCGTAAAAGAAGACCATGCATCTGAATAAGGCCTCTGTTTGGGGAGAAGGGCAGACTCATTCATTCCCTTTGTTACCCCCGTTTCCAAGACCTAGAGATCCAGAGGTTGGAAGGATAAAAACTGGGAGAGAGCCCAGATGGCTTGGCTCAGCGGTTGAGCATCGACCTATGAACTAGGAGGTCACGGTTCAATTCCCAATGAAGGCACATGCCAGGTTGTGGGCTCCATCCCCAGTGTGGGGTGTGTAGGAGGCAGCTCATCAATTTCTCATCATTGATGTTTCCATCTCTCACACTCTCCCTTTTTCTCTCAAGTCACTAAAGATAATTTTTTAGTTAAAAAAATAAATGGGGGAGAACAGAAATATGGTCTAGAGGTAAAACACATTGCATGTGTGTTGGTGGTTTTGTGTTTGCCACCTGTGCTTGAATTGCACTTCTAAGCAGATCTGGCCTGAATATACGGAAGCAACCTTGTGTTTGGTTTTCAGAGTATTATGTCCCATTGGCTGTCCCAGATGATACCCTTAGTCTCATTTCAGGCCGTAATGTTTTCTCCTCTCTTGATATTTGCCTAAGGATTTCAAAAGAACAGAAAAGCTCAATTATCTTGTGAGGGGAAGCTCCCTGGTTCAGAAGTAGGCTTTACCTCTGCCTTAGGACCTTTGCTTTTCTGGTCACCACTGCCAATCTTACAGATGCTTTCATTAGGGTCAATACACCAAACCAGTTTCATTAAAATTGTAAGAATCATTCCTTCAAGCTAGAAATCAGAGCTGAACCCTTTGCATTCCCATCTAGAAGAGTTAAAAGATGTCTTCTTCCTTCCCAGAGTTTCTTTCACTTTTGTAGGAATTGTAGAGGCCCAGTGCATGAATTCATGTATGGATGGGGTCCCTTGGCCTGAATGGCGATCAAGGCCTATGGCGGGTCGGGGAGGGAGGCCTGAGAGAGTGCACTGACCACCAGGGGGCAACTCCTGTGTTGAGTGTCTGCCCCCTTGTGGTCAGTGCACTTCATAGCGACTGGTCAACTGGTCGTTCTGGTCATTGGGTCCTAATGGTCACTTAGAATTTTATATAGATATAGATTTAGATAGATATAGATATAGATGATTTAAGTGGCTGCCTATGTGGCCTGGAATTTGATGGTTTGTGGAAAAGCTCATATCAGAAATACCAGCTTGCTTAGGCTGGGGGCTATATTCTAACTTCCCTGTTGGCTTGCCATGCTTCTGCCTCTCAGACCTACCTGGACAGTATGCAGCCCCTTGCTGTAGAATTCCTCACCAGCACTGCTTGGTATTCAAGCCCTCAGGTCCATACAGGGCATTTGGGGGGAAATGGGAAGGAGGGCAAACCCATTTGTTCCCTTTGTTCCCCCCGGTGAGGGGAATTGTCAGTGGTAGAGATTCCCACAGAAAATAGGATCCAAGTTTCTGGCGCTCAGGTTGGCTACGGGAAGTGTGGGTTTGGAACCAGGTTGTGGGATGTCAAAAGGAAGCTCTGTACTAGTGAAGGGAGTGAAGGGATTTCACAAGGAGAAATCATGAGATTGTGCTGATTGTTATGTTGTGGTTATGTCTCCCCTGCCCAGCTCTAGCCATGCTGATCCTATTTACTGGTACTCATGGCACTGTGCCTTTGTGTATCACATCCGTTCTGGAACGGCCTGCTCTCCCTGACCACCTCCTAACCCCAGTTTACCCCGTTATGACAAAATCCCACTCATTCCCTGTGAAGTCTTCCTTGATTAGCTGCCACCTGCTCTATTCACGTCCTTCTCATCAACCACAGCACTCCCTGTAGACCACATGTGTCAAACACAAGGCCTGCGGGCCAAATCCGTCCCGCCAGGCCTTGCAATGTGGTCCGCACCGCGCTGTCATCACTGCACTCCGCTGCGTTTCCATCACAATGACAGTTTATGACTGTTCAGTAAACCATTGGGCCCGCGATTTAGGCTGGATTTTAGATTTTGGCCCCTTCTCTGATTGAGTTCCACACCCCTACTGTAGACTCATGGGGTGGTCTTATCACCCACCTTGTAAGACTTGGTCTGTGTGTCAGTTTACCCATAGGTTATACTGTTCTCACAGTAAAGGGAAGGTCCTCCAGATTGCTGAACCTCAGTATTGTGCCATTAGTAAGAGTTGGCACTCATTAATACGGAATAATAAGTTAAACCCAGCTTGGTTTATTCTCAGCTCTTGAGTCTTATTTTAGGAGAACAGTTGGAAAGCTGAAATGGGAAAGGACATCATACCGAAGGAAATACAGAACCTGCCTGAGCAGTCAGAAGCCAGGCCCCAGCACCGATGTGAAATCAGTTCACCAACAAATAGCATTCAGACCCCAAGGTGTCTAAGAGTAAAGTTTACGGGTTTTTTTGGTCCTCTCTTTACAGAACAGGGAAAGAAACACCCAGCAGGGATGTCAGGAGCCTCCAGCATTTGATGGCGCTGATGGCCAGGCACAGGGTAGGTTCCGGGAAGGGCGTGTATTCTCTAATCCGTCCTGTGCCTTTAGTTTTCTGACAGCAGAGCAGCACAGAGCTCCGTCTGGGCGCGCTTGGTGGTGGTGAGTCTTGTTTCCATGGAGGTGCCTGTTGGCCGCCCTCCAGGCTAGGGGCCCACCCTGGAGTAGCAGGAGCCAGCCTCGCCCAGCTCCCTGGCGGAGTGAAGGGAGGTCAGGCATGGCCTCCCCGTGCTTCTGATAGTGAAACTGAGGCTGCAATGTTTCACAACAGCTCCATGGTGGGTGATGAGTTTTACAGAGAAGTTGGAAAGGATTATGACTTTTTGTTTTATTGGAGAACGCTCTCTGGGCAGCTGTCTCTTGTTTTCCCTTCGGGGCAGTGGTGTTAATATTAAAGGTGTAGCAGATGCTCAGCAAGGCTGGGAATGCATGTGGCGGCGTCTCCCTCCTAACTCACTGGTCTTACCCAGCATCGGGCCTCAGTATGGCTGCAGGTATCACAGAAACAGGCATGTGAGCAAGTGAGTTCTTCAAGTTCTCACTCCACATGCAGACACCAGCCTGGGGGTGGGCCGGGACTTAACAGAGTGTGAAAGTCTCAGAGGCCTGGCTTTGGAAATGACTCCAAGATCAGAATAGCATCTTACTGGGCTGAGATGAACTTGGGAAAGCCAGAACAAAGAATTCACCTGGCTTTAAAAAATCCTGGTGTGAGCTGCTGTTGGCTCATGCTGAGTGTCCTGCCTTCTGCGCATGTGAAATAGGCCCCCCCCCCCCACTTCCTGCCTGAGCGTTTTCCTTGCAGGTTCTAGGTGGGAGGAGAGCCCACCAGGAGAGACTAGCCCACCGCTGCAGCAAAGCAACGCACCTCCACCTGCGGGCCCCACAGGCCCGGGGACCGGTGGCTTCTTTGGGTTTCTGAGGTAAGACAGACTTCTCTCCTGCCTTCAAACTGAGACCCTGGGAGGAGAGAAGGGACTGCTAGAGTCTCAGCCTGTTCTGCTTTCTTTCTTGCAGCTCTTTCTTCCCATTCCGGTATTTCTTCGGGAAGAGCAGCCAGTGAGCCTTCCATCCTCTGCTTATGACACTCGAGTCCTGGGGAAGGAGGGCCCCACACTCCCTGAGTCTTCTTATTGGCCTGTCCTGTCCCTCGCCCCTTTCCAATAAATTTTTTTTTTTCCAATTTAAAACTAAGAAAAGAACTTTCTAAAACGCTCTACTCTGAGAATTGTTCTGCTCTGAGGTTCAGTTTAGACCTTTCATCTCCAGCACTTAGGATCCTTATGGCAATTAATTATTTATGAACAGTTATTGACTGAGTTCAGTGAAGTAGAGGGTGAGAGAGAGCAAACTCTTTCCTCAAGATACAGAGAAGCGATGCCTGCCACCTCCGGTGGGTCTGCCTGGGTCTACCTGGTTCTCGTTGACAGGATGCTTGGTGGGTGGGGTCTGCAGCTCACTGCCAACTTTCAGTGGCCTGCCAGCAGTTAGGGTCTTGCCAAACTCACTGCCGGCACAGACAGATTAGGTTCCTGTTGTGTGGCCAGCGAGGATCAAAGTAATTGTCAAAGTAATTGTCGGGAATTGAGGGAAACTCATTTTAGCTGAGGACAAAGGACTGCTTTTTTAACCGTTAGAGATGTTTAGTATTAGAGTAGCGAGCCCTTGTCGCCTCTAGTCTTTACACAGCCGACTTACCTGTCAGGTGCCGGGGTGAGCGGGAGCTTGGAGCCCCCGTGTTTGCTGCCTTCAGCTGGGGTGCGGAGAAGAGGTGGGCTGGGCTGCTGCGAAGGGCTGGGACCTGAGGAGAGGAGGGCCGAAGGGGAAACCAGCGGGTGTCGGGACTGGAGGACGAGGGACAAGGTGCGTTTACAGCCTGTGCCCTCTGTCCCAAGCACGGCCTGCGGCCCAAAGCTGCCAACAGGCACAGCTCCGGCCTCTGGAGGCCTGAGGGCCTCTGCCTGACCAGCTCACGGCGAAGCCCGGGCAGAGTCGCTTTCCCTCCGGTCATTTCTCCTCTGGGAAATGAAGAGGCGGGCTTTGGTGAGCTCTGACAGGCCCTGCGCTGGCTCTGCTGCCCCGGGGCTGGGGGCCAGTCACCTTCTGGTTTCCACCCACCCAGTCCCTGCAGCTCCTGGTGGCTCGGGGTTTTTTTTCCCAGCTGGCCCCATTCCCATCCCAGTGTAACCCAGCACCATCATGGAGCACGGTTGGGTTTCCAGTCGCCCCAACAGCTGTGTGACCCCAGGAACACTCCTTTGGTCTGTAGCTGCCTCACCTGGAAGCCAGAGCCAGAGCTGGACTGGATGATGGGATTTGCTGGGATCAACAACGTCAGGCTCTTCCCGGTGTCAGGCTCTTCCCGGTGCCAGATCCACTCTGGAGCTGACCCCAGGGTGAGAAGCCTGTCACTTGACAGTGGAAGCGAAGTTCTGAAGTTGACCTAGAATCCCCTCTCCCTGGCTCTGCCTCCAAGCACATCTCAGCAGATGGCCCCTGGTGTAATTTCTCTTTTTGAAGATAATTACAGGAAAGGCGAGTGGCAGCTGCCTTGAGTTGTGACATTGACCTAAGCTGTCAGTTTCTCCAGGTTGCTCTCCCATGCAGTTGGAGAACCATGGCTACAACCAGCCACAGCCCTTGGAAACATGCTGTCATTTCCTGTCTTAAGAATCCCCCCCTACCCCTACCCACACACTCAAAAAAATTTTTAAAAAGTCTCCCAGACCCTTTCCTCTGCGGTAGATTAAGGAGACAGACTGGGCTGAGTTTAGTGGGGTTTTTTAAAAAGATGTTTTTACTAATTTTTAGGGAGAGGAATAGAGAAATAGAAACTTCAGTGAGAAACATCATGGATCGGTTGCCTCTTGCACACCCCTACTGGGGATCCAGTCCGCAACCGGGGCCTGTGCCCTGACCGGGAATTGAACCAGTGACCTCTTGGACTGTAGGTCACCGCTCAACCATTGCACCATGCCAGCCAGGCACCAGGAGTTCTAACGTTGGGGTGGTGAGGCCCTCACTGAGTGTTCTGCCCAAGGCCACACAGAGAACCCAGGTGGCAACAACTCAGCCCTTTCTCGGGCCCTCTCTCCACCTGCACACAGCTGCCCACTCGGCAAGCTCCTGGGCTTCACTCCCCACCTCGCCTCACCAGCCCCGGGCAGTGGGCAGCTTTTGGGCAGAAGGGGGCAGAAAGCAGACGCCACGCCCCCCAACCACACCTCGGGAGGAGCTGATCTCCCAGGTGGGATGGCTGGGGCCTGAGGCTTGAGGCCTGAGGCTGGGCGCAGGCCTGAAAGCCGATCTCCCGGAAGGCGTGGCTCCTACTGCTGGCAGATAAAGCCTGAGAAGCTGAGAGTCTGAAGACCAGCAGCAGGCTGCTCACGGAGCCACTCAGCCAGCCGCTCAGTCCTGGGCCTTGGAAGTGGTAAGCCCCTGAGGGCCCCGGGGATGCAGATGGGGTCCTATAGGCCAAGGTGGGCAGATGGCGGGGGCAGATGTCTGTGCGCCAGATGGTGGGAGATATGCAGGGGGAACCCACCAGTGAGCTGACAAATCACATCCAGAGACTGCTGCTCACGCTGATGGCCATCCAGAGACTCACAGGCAGACGCACTCAAAGGCGGGTACAGGGCAGTCAGGCTCACCTGGCCCTGGCTCATTCACCTGGAAGCATCCGCCTGCACACGCCCTAGAGACATCTCTGCCCACCGTTTCAGATGCCCATGGCGTCCCCCCAAACCCTGCTCTTCTGCCTGCTGTTCCTGGTGACCACTGAAGGCTGGGGTCAGCAGGCGGCCATCCCGGGCTGCCACCTGCACCGTGAGTAACTTGGGGCAGAGGGCTGGGTGGGAGCAAAGAGCTGATGGGCTGGACAGAGGGGCAGGCGGCAGCCTGATGGGCCCACAGAGGGACGGGCGGCGGGAGCTGGGTGAGACCTCGCCGAGGCACCGAATACAGCTCGCCTGTCTCCTCCCAGCCTTCACCGTGACTGTGCGCAGTGACCGCCAAGGCACCTGCCAGGGCTCCCACGTGGCCCAGGCTTGTGTGGGCCACTGCGAATCCAGTGCCTTCCCTTCGCGGTACTCAGTGCTGGCGGCCAGTGGCTATCGCCACAACGTCACCTCCATCTCTCAATGCTGCACCATCACCGGCCTGAGGAAGGTGAGGGGCCCCCTGGGGGAGGCAGAGGAGTTGGGGTCTAAAATGGCTCAGGAAGGGGACTGGAACCGAACCCCCTCTCCCACAGGTGAAGGTGCAGCTGCAGTGTGGGGGGGGCCGGAGGGAGGAGCTGGACATCTTCACGGCCAGAGCCTGCCAGTGTGACATGTGTCGCCTCTCACGCTACTAGCCCACCCTGTCCCCACCTCCCGCCGCTTGGTCAGTCCCTCTGTGTATCCTGAGCATCACTGCGGACGGCAGCTTCACCCCCCGAAACGGGGAGGCTGCCTGCTCCTGCCACCTCCTCACAGTCTCACCATTGCACTTCCCTCTCTGCCATCTCCCTTAATAAAGCAAGCAGTCCTTGAGTTTCTGTCTTTATTAAGTCTACCCCCAGCCAGGGGAAGGGGGACAGACCAAGGTAATGTGACCCCACCTTGCCCCAGACATGGGGAATCTCTTCTGCCTGTGCCCTCACCCCTCCCCCTGCCCAATAAATAAAAAGGGGACAAGAAAGTACAGAGGGAGGGAGAGGAGGGGAGGAGGGTGCCCAGGCCCAGGTCAGCATCTGTTGGGGGTGAGCAGGGGAGAATAAATAGACCATGGATCCATGGTGGGGTGCAGCGGACCTCGCGCTGGCACGAGGGGGGGTGCATGAGGCCTGAGCCCCATTGCCCTAGGCTGGGAGCAGGGTGTGGGAGCCTGCCTGCAAGGGAGCCCAGCTTTTTGGGGCAGGGAGATCCCTGATGGCAGCTTCCTGGTCAAGCTTGCCCTGGTCAAGTCCTGCTACAAGGGCCGGAGAGTTCTGTTGCCAGGACCACCATATCCTCTTCTCCCCACCGTAAAGTGCCCACGCTGGGCCAGGCAGGGAGCCCTCCAATGCACTCTGGCCAGGCCCGGGGTAGGTGTGTGTCTCTGGGCCCCTGGGCAGGAGAGGGCACAGAGGGACTGACAGCTCTGGGTTTACTTCCTCCCTTTCTACAGGATCTCTAGCTCTGACCCCCGTTGGTGGCCACCTGGGGTGGAAGGCGCTGGAGAGGGGCCTCTTTTGCCCCCTGGGTCCCCTGTAACCGGCGTAGCCGTAGCTCCTCCAGGCCTTGCCACAGCTCCTGCCGCTCCTGGGCCTTCTGCTGCTCCCTGCGGGGAGAGGAAGGCCTGCCTGCAGCCCAGCTTCCCTCAGCACCACCTCGGCTGCAGCGAGCAGCTAGGGGAGCCTTCCGCTGGGGAGGAGATCACTGAGGCGGCCGGTCCTGAGCAGGCAGCCGGCCTGGCTCTGAGAGACCGCCAGGGGGAGAGGAAACTCCACGCTCCGCACGTGGAGAAGCCCTGGGAGGACCCCGGGTCGTGGGGAGTGGGCAGCACTTTTTAAATATCTGAATAAGCGCGGTCATCCTCTGAGGCTCCCTCCAACCAGGAGAAGCTGGTTCCTTCCTGCTCTCCCCTCCCTCCGTGCCCAGCTCCCCCCACTCACTGCTGTTTTTCCAGCTTGTAGGAGACTGTGAGCTCGTCAAACAGCTTCCCGTTCATCTCCATGAAGGTCTTGAGCACATTGTAGATCAGAGACACGATGGTTCTTGGCAGGTCCGGGGAGGGGTGAGATGAGAGCAACTTCAGCATTGGCCCCACCTCCCACCTCCCACCTCCCTCCACAGCGCTCTGCCGATCCCTGTCCCAAACGGCGTGCAGCCACCACACAGGCTGCCCTCCGCCTGCCCTTGCGCCTCCCCTCAGCCCTCGGAGACCCTCCCCTCAGCCCTCCGGCTAGGAGTGACCCCGGTCTGCACTGGCTGCCCCGGGACCCGCTTCTGAGCGTTAGGCCGGGGCCTGGGCACTCACTGGTTCCAGTGCTCCTTGGAGACTTGGTAGAGGGTCCCAAACACAGCAGGCAGCACAGTGTGGCAGTTGTCCTCAATGAGGCTCAGGATATACTCGTTGTTCCAGAAATACAGAGCCCGCTCTGCAACCTGGGGCGGGAGATGGCGGAGGGAGTGCCTGGCAGAGGCTTCCCTGCAGGGGCAAGGGCTGTATCCACCGCACCCCACACCCCAGGGCGCCCTGCCTCACACGCCCATCCTCAGCACTCCCCTAGCCCACTGGAGGAAGCACTGACAGGAGAAGAGAAACTGGATTTGGAGTCCAACACTCAGAGCTGAATCCTAGCTCTGCTGCACATGGGTCACATGACCTTGGGCAAGGCATTTAACCTCTCAGCTTCCGTTTCCTCATCCGTTTCATCTGAAAAAGGGGGCTAATAACTAATAGATATCTCCCCAGGGCTGTTGAATGAGGTGCCAGAATCACTGTGAGGAAGAATTGGCTTCTACCAGGTTATGGCTCATGAGAATGGGAGCGAGTCTGTCACACGTTATAGCCAGCCTCATGGTGCGGAGTGGGGGGTCCCAGCTGGGCCCTGAGGTGGGACTGATTAAACTGAAGGCCACTAAGAAAAGGAGAGATGCCCTAGATGGTTTGGATAGAGCGTCGGCCTGCAGACTGAAAGGTCCTGGGTTTGATTCTGGTTAGGGGCACTTTCCCAGGTTGTGGGCTCCATCCCCAGTGGGAGGTGGGCAAGAGACAGCCAATCAATGGTTCTCTCATCATTGGTGTTTCTTTTTTTTCTTTTTCTTTTTTTTAAATATATTTTATTGATTTTGTACAGAGAAGAAGGAAGAGAGATAGAGAGTTAGAAACATCGATGAGAGAGAGTCATCGATCAGCTGCCTCTTGCACACCCCCTACTGGGGATATGCCCGCAACCAAGGTACATGCCCTTGACCGGAATCGAACCTGGGACCTTTCAGTCCGCAGACTGACGCTCTACTGCTGAGCCAAACCGGTTTTGGCAATAAAAAAATATTTTAAAGAGAAAAGAAGGGATAACCCACGTGCAGCACATTTTAGTTACCGAACATGTTTACCCCACTATCTCTAACGTCTCTATTGGACACGTTACAGATGAGAAGCTTAATCACTCAGAGTGAAGTGATCTGCCCAACGCCCCTCAGCCAGTGGGAGGCAGATCTAAGGCTTGACCCAAGGGCTCGACCCTAAGCGCAGCATCGCCCCCTTATCAGACCCAGGAGAGTCCAGGGGGCCGAGGGAGCTGTGTTAGGTCAACTGGTCAACCTTCCTAGTCCATTCTCCAGGCCCCACCCTCACCCATTCCCACCCCATACCTGGAAATGGGGGCTGGACACACAGCGAGCCACCTGCTTGAACAGGGGTTCCTGGATCTTCACAAACTGGGAGGGCTCAATGACATCAAGGATCTCTTCCATCTCCCCCAGAAACATCACCTGGGGGCGGGGACAGGGGCAGCATTCCATCTCCGCTGACACACACCCCTGACTGCCCTCCAGAAGCTAAGCTTTCCTGACCCCTCTGGTGGTCGTCTGAGCCCCTTTCCTACCTCCTTCTGGGTGCAGGTTTTGGGCCAGTATTTGAGCAGTCCCCGGATCACCTGTGAGGTTGAGGCAGAAAGGAGTCAGACCTGCAAGGACGGGGACCTGCCTTCTCCCCCACAGGTACTCACATGCTCTGTCAAGGTGGCATCCTTTTCCAGGAACTGCACCACACAGTATGCCAGCTATGGGGGCAGAGAGAGAGAAGGTGGGTCCGCAGGGGATTAGGGCAGGGCCTACTCTCATTTCCCCAGCGTCTGCCTGGGATGTACCAGGCATTGTGCCCAGTGCGCGGGGACACGATGATGGCCTCACAGGGTGACATTCAGCAAACCAGCCCTTATAAATGTCACACAAGTTTCCACGACAGAAATCTATCGCAATCTATGCGAATACAGGAGCGTTTAAGCCTGCCTCTGGCAGGTTGAGACCAAGGGGCTGGGAAGGCTTCGCAGAGCTGATGTCTGAGAGCCTTAAAGGGTCACGGGGCTTCTCTACGTAGAAGGAACGGAATCAGTAAAGAAAAAGGAGGTGATTTAGTGTGGCTGAGCCAGAGCGGCAGGCTGACCCGCATGGCTGCCCTGACTCTGTCCGCTGTCTGCTGTGCGGGTAAGTCTGGGCCTTACCTGGGCGTGAAAGACTGACAGCGACTTAACGGAGTGCAGGGGAATCAGGACCCGAACCAGGAACTGCTTGTGCTCAGTCTTCAGGGGCAGCGCAAAGCCGTTGATGATGCTGAGGAGGGGACAGGAGAGGAGGGCTCAGGTGACGGGCCTCGATCCTTCCTCCCCGAACGCTGCTGCTCCGGCGGAGGCCCGGGAGAGTCACCTTCCTAAGATCTCCAGCAGCTCAGCCACACCGTTGAAGTGCTCGAGTTCATAGATGAACCTGCCGGAGGACAAGGACAGAAGGGCTCGGAGCAACTGGAGCAGGCCCAGCCCCTCCCAACCAGCCTGCCTGCCACCCAGCCCTGCACGCTAGTCCTCTCTCCCCACCGGGGCCGCGCTCCCTTCCCAGTACCCTGAGCAGGCCCCACGGAGATCCACACCCACCTCGGAACCGCTCTTCTCAGCCCAGCCACCAGCGCCTCTCTGGGTCTCAGCTCAAACCTCTGCCAGGAAGCATTCTCTTCCCCCAGACCCCAACCCTCTGACCTGGTCCCCATCCAGTCAGCAGACACCTAGCCTGCTCCTTCACTCTTCATGCCAGTCAACCGAAAGAATGCCAGGCACTTAGAGCATCTCCCCTGTTAGCCCAGGAGGCGGGGTGCATTGGATCCATTGTACAGATGAAGAAATGGAGGCGCAGTGGTTCAGTGAAGCTTGTCCCAAAGTGAATAAGCAGGGGATCTAAGGAAGCCTGAGGGATCGTGTCTCACCTACTATGTAGTTCCGGCCTCGGTCAGGGCGCAGTCCTGTTTTGGAGGCATCGCCTCATTTCTTGATGACTGTCCCTGATGTAGCTGTCATTCCCACTTTAGAGATGAGGGAACTAGAAGAGCTTAAATAATGAGTACCCAAATATTGGAACCAGACTCAAATACAGGCCTTTTACTTCAGAGCCAGTCTCAACCACAAGGCCATGCTAGCATTGGTGCTCAATATACATTTGCAGAAAGAATCTTTTTTAAAAACACATATTTGTATTGATTTCAGAGAGAAAGGGAGAGGGAGAGGGAGAGAGGAACATCACTGATGAGAGAGAATCAGTGACTGGCTGCTTCCTGCATGCACAAGTTGGGCATGTGCCCTGACCAGGAATTGAACGGTGACCTGGTTCATAAGTCAACGCTCGATCACTGAGCCACACCAGCCGGGCAGAAAGAATCTCCATAGGTCCCTATGGCTGAGCACAATAAAGGTCAAAAGATACAGATCATAGACCCCCCCTGGACTGACAGGCCCTGCAAACCACTGCACCCCTCTCAGCCTCCATTTCTTTATCTGTAAAATGG